CCCCTTATTGTCCCCAGAATGGCTGAGCAATGGATGCAGGATGAAAAGAGGGACTCTTGTAAGGCATTCTGAGCCCGGAAGATGATCAAAAGCAGGAAGAGAGAGCCTAGAGCCCTAGATGAATCTCAGGGATATCTTTCCTGGGGCTTAAGGGCTCACAGGAGGTTTTAGTATAAGAGGAAAGATCACATAGTGGCTTAGAGCACAGAATGGGGCATCAGATCAACCTAGGAGCACATCCCAGTCCCACTGCTTACTCTCTTGATCTTTCTGAGCCTTACGTTCTACTCTGTAAAATGGGAACAATATCTGAACCAATGCTGAGGTGAGAGAAAGCATTCTCCTGCTCCTGGCTTATGGTGAGCACTCTTCAAGTGTCAGCCACCATAAGATCATCCCTGGGAGGCTCAGAGCACCAGCCTTACTGGAGGGGACCAAGCAGAGGGACAGCCCGGGGAGACCGGCCCAGCCAGCAGGGCTGATAGAGCCCAGAATCTCAGCCTGTAAACCTGGCCCGGCTCCCATCTCTGCAACAGACCCAGGGGCAGGACACAGAGAGAAGCAGGGCCAGCCAGACATAATGCAGCACAGCAGAGGAGCCAGATTATTTACTTTAAAGTGGAAAGTGTCTTCCAGAGGACGGCCTTTTATTTGGGTGAATCTGGGGGCTGTGTCTCAGCTTAAACTCATTATCTGCACACATGGTCTTCGTACTCCGGTTCAGGGTGGGAAACAAAGGGTGGAAGAGAAAGGATGGGCCAATAGGAGCTGATGAAATATCATCCCTCAAGTGCCAGAAACCGGGATATTTTCAGTGACGTCACATTGGGCTTCCTGCCATGGGGATAGGGCTATCGTGAGAATACTCACAAGACTTTAACTTAGGAGTCCTCAATGAAGCAGGGAAAGAAAGAAAACAAAAAAGCAGCTTATTCTATGTACCTTTGTCTTCTATCCCCAAAACACGCTCTCTCGCTCTCTCTCTCTCTCACACACACACACACACACACACATACACACACACTGTGCCCCAGAAGATCAGAGCTGGAAAGGACCAAAGTTGATCTTCCTACTTCACAGTAACTGTATAAAGATAACAATGACAAAATGTTAATATCTACTGAGCATGTGCCACTTCCGGCCACTGTGCTAAGTGTTTTATATGTTTCATCTCATTGGCTGTTCACAACAATCTGATAAGGCATTATTAGTCCCATTTTACACATAAAAAAGCTGAGGCATCAGAGATTGAACAGCCGAGGGTTGCAGAGCTAATAACTAGGAGAGAGCCAGCATTCAAACAACCCAGGCAGCCTAACCACCACGCAATGCTACCTGTAAAGAAGCAGAGAAACGAGCACAGAGAGGGGCGGTGACTCACTCCAGGTCACACAGCTCCATCTGTAACAGAATCAGGGTGAGGACACAAATCTCCTGAACTCCTGGTCCAGTGACCATTCCACTCCCTCCTGGTGCCTCTTAGTCCTTACTGGTACACACAGGCACACAGCAGTGAACACGCTTCTGCTCATCTCCAAGTTGTTTAAGTCACTAATTACAGCAGCAGTCAGGGGTGCAGACAAGGGCTAAGGGTTGCACCTTATGAGAAGTGCCCAGATGAAAGGCCTGCTTGGCCCGTTGAGAACACCGGGACTCATCATCTCACTCTCTCTTATTTTAATAAGCGTTTCATTATCTGCTCCCCCTCCTTCGATCGGAGCGCTGATGCGGGTCCAAGGTGCCAGCCTGTGTGGCAGGAGGAGCCCAAGCTGGCAGGTTTGCTCAATGGCATCAGGTTGCAGAACTACCCGCTCAACCCATCATCTGCTCCCGGGGAGCAGAGGGTGGGGGGGGATTGGCAAAGTGCTGGTTTCCAAGGCCCCTCCCTTTGCAGTGTCCCAGCTGAGTCTGAACAAATGTTCCTGATTTTCTTTTCAACGGCTGATGAAATAGGCCAGTGAGCAGCTCTCTGGAAAGAGGGGTCCCTACAAGGGGCGGCCCAGCCACCACCATTTGCTCCTCCCAGGGAAGGGGAGAGAGTGAATGCTGGACAGGCCTCAGGAGAAAAGCAGCCTGCGGACAGATATGGGTTCCCAGCAGGCACTGACATTACCCCCGTACAGAAAACTGGTGGAGGCCAGGAGCCTGGCTCACTTTGCTGTGTGTGTGTGGGGGGGGGGGGGGGAGGCACAGCGGGATAAGACAGGCTGAGAAAGCATGTCCAAGAGGGGAAGTGACTCACCCAAAGCCACACTGATCACCCAGAAGACTGGGCTCCGTTCTCGACCCCCTCCCACAAATCCCTGCCACAAGCTCTTGCTTTGATACTGCCGGGCACCTGTCCCTGCCCAGCACCCTGTCCTCCAGCCCACCCCTCACACCATCAAAACCTTATTGGGCAACTCAAGGAGCTATTTCCAAGCTCACGTGGAATTTTTTTATTGGGGAGGGGGCACTTTTTGGATCAATCCAAGGTGCCCTAACTCCAACTCCAGATGAACTTCTGCTTCTAGAACAGCGGTTCTCAACCTGTGGGTCGAGACCCCTTTGGCGGTCGAACGACCCTTTCACAGGGGTCGCCTAAGACCATCCTGCATATCAGATATTTACATTACGATTCATAACAGTAGCAACATTACAGTTACGAAGTAGCAACGAAAATAATTTTATGGTTGGGTCACAACATGAGGAACTGTATTTAAAGGGCCAGAAGGTTGAGAACCACTGTTCTAGACGGTGCCCTGGAACTTTCACGGGTGCACTGGCATTCAGCCACGGGTTGCATAAAGATACCGCCAAGGGTCAGGCATTTGAATGTATTTGGGGACGGGGTGACAAGGACACAGACTGACCAAGACGTGAAAAGTGGCGGAATCAGAGATCTCCGAGTCAGCAGCCCGGGGTCTCAGTTCCCTCTTCCCTTCAGGGCACGTGGGGGCTTGGGGGCAGTGCGGGGAGAATGGGTGGAACAGGACAGGGCTGGCTGTATGGGGCAGGCTTCCCTCCTCAGAAAAACAAGTCACTAAAAACAAAACCAAACAACCCTTTTGTTTTCTGGCCCCATGGAATGTCTTGAAGCCGCATCCAGGGACAGCGGCTCCTCCACCCTTTCCTCTGTCTCTGCTCCTCCTCTTCTAATCACAATAAAAATCATGCTGATCTTTCCTTGTGGCAGCTCTGTCCTAGAGCAGGTTGGTAGCATCCAGCAAAAAACAATGGGTGGGCTGCGTGGCAAGCAAGAGCCTCAACTCTCTTTCTGGACCCTCCCCGCTTCCATCATCTCTGCAGGAGACTCGGGGGACACCCAGGAGGGGGGCCGCCCAGTGTGCACAGTTTCTAGCCAAGAGAAAGATGAAAACTTCCACTGGCCGCTGTGAGGCCACCGCACGGTCTTTGATGTGCTCATTTGTACTCACTTGGGGTGCAGGGAGGAGGGAGGAGAGAGGGAATTAGAGAGAATGATGAGGCGACAGTCCCTTCAGTGTCCCTTCAATGTCCAACAGCCCCACACCTGACAGAGTAGACACTCTTCACCGATGCCAGCAGCTGCCTTGCTTCCCAAGGCGTCGGCAGGGACACAGGGACTCAACACACACGGTCCCGGAGGTCAGACAGGGCACACAGAGCAGGTCTCCACCAATAAGTGTGAAATGACCAGATGACTGTGGCCCATGGACCCAGATGGGAGGGGCGGGGGCTCTTGTTGACTGCTGAGAAAATTACAAGGGTCCCCCATCACCCCCACCCTTGCCTCCCAGCTTATTTGTGCCCAGAGAGAGTGTGGATAGGAGGGGATGTGATATGCCAGGAGACCTCACCCAGGCATAGCAGGTAGGGACCTGGCCAGATCCAGGGAACAAAGGTCCAACTTTCACAGAAAGGGGGGTGCATTCAGCGATTGGGGGGGTCAGACTCCAGAGAAACCTCAAAAAGTTAATTCTCCCAGTCATTTTCTCCACACGGATTTGCTGTTACTGTACAGTTTCTCTCCTTTTTTTGTTTTCCTGGCGGTGACTTTTTTATTCACCAATACACCCTGACAGCCCAGCTTCCCAGCACACGGTGCAGTTACAAATGAAGCACCCCAGCCTCACACTCGACCCTCTCCCCCAGTCTGGCTGCGCGGAGGGGTGCTCCTCCCGGCGGGGCCCCGGGTGTGTTGGAGGGTCTGTGGTTGTCTGTCCTGGATTTCAGTACATTTGTCTGGAAGGAACCAGCACTGGCCTTCCTATGGGTGAAAGGGCCGGGGAAGTGCGCCCCCTGGCGGGAGCCAACTCAGCTCCATCCAGCCGGGCCCCAAAGCCGGCGTGAACCCACCAGAGCCCGCCAGCCCTCCAAGTGGACTCCCACTACACCCCCTAAATCTGCACACACCTGGGCTTCGGACCCACCGAGAGCCACACAGAATCTCTGCTTCCCCAAACCGCACACACCGTGTAGGGGATCCAGGGGCCCCCGAAGGAAAGGGTGGCGCCCCGGCCTCGCCCCGCCGCCAGGGACCCCAAGGCGGCAGGCTCTCAGTGCCCTGCTGGGCCCAGTGATCTCCTAGCCCGGATCTTCGCTTCTCATCCCTAGACCCTAATCCTGCCCTGCTACAGAGTCGGGTGGCGCGCGCGCCCTCCCTCGGGTTGCAGCCCTCTCCGAGACCCCAACCTTGTAACCACACCTGCCACCCTCCGCCATTCTCCCGGCGCCCCCACTCACCCACCCAGAGCACCCGGAGCCGACTGGCGCTGCACCTGTCCGCGGGGAAGCCCCAGCCCTCGGCGGATTCGGAGCAGGAATTAGAGGCGAACACGTCTCCCCTTCCTCCTCCGCATGCTGGTTTAAGTAAAACTTGGTTCCAGAGCTTCCCCGGACCGTCCTGGGATACTCCTGATGGCACCCCTACCCCACCCACCATGCCCAACTGTCTCCCGCGGGGAGCGCGCGGGGAGTCTCCAAGTCCTAGGGCGCAGCGGCAGGGCGCACTGAGTATAAGAAGGTGTGGAGCCCCCTACCTTCCAGCTGCAGCGGCCGGACCCCGCGCCAACTCCCGCCGGCGGCCGCGGGGGAAACTTTCCTGGGGCAGATAGGCGCGCTCTCAACTTGCTGGG